AACGCGTGCATGCATCGAGCCATGCCGCTCTCTTCCAGCTGGATCGCGAAGTAATCCCCTCCCGCGCCCGACACCAGCGGCGGCAGCGCTGCCAGAAGCGACAGCGCGTGCAGCACACGCGTGGCGCTTGGAGCGCCTTCCGGCTCTGAGAAGCCGCCACGTGGCGCTGACGGGGACGATGGCGGCGACATGGTTGAGAAGGCCACATCAGCATTGGGGATGGTGTCGAGGGGAGAGGAAGACATGTCGAGAAAGCTGTTGGACTGATCTGCTTTTTCTTCTGCTGCTGCTGGCGCTGCTGCTGCTGCTTCTTTTCCACCATTGCCGTCACCACCAGCTGCTGCAGTCACCATACCCTCACCCCCTTCCTCAACGTTCCCACCATCCCCCTTTCCTTCATTCGCCTCCTCACCTTCCTCACTCCTCAACGTCTCATCTCTCTCCACCTGCACCTTCTGATCTTCTCCTCCTTCCGGGTCCTTAATCTCATCACCTCCCTCCTCTCCATCCCCCCCATCCCCATCACCACCGCAGCCTTCCTCATTCTTGCTGTCCCCAGCAGTACCAGCATTCCCAGTCGCCTCCATGTCACCACTGCTTGCTTCACCCGCTGCATCGGCTCCTGACGAATCCTGGCTGCACAGGTGGCGGTCCACGATTTGCGCAGCTCCCTCCAGCAGTGCTGCCACCACTGTGGCCCGCTGCCCCGACCACAGAGTCACCTCTCCCAGGGATGCCGCTGGAAGGGAAAGAGGAAAAAGGAGCGAGAGAATATCAAATTAGGCTCCCTGGAAATAGATTCCAGGAGTTCTGCCACGGCTGTGGCCCGCTGCCCCGACCACAGAGTCACCTCTCCCAGGGATGCCGCTGGAAGGGGAAAGAAAGAAGCAAGAGCGAAGTAAATTACTAAAGCTTAGATAGATTTTAGAAGGGCAGCCATCACTGTAGCCCGCTGCCCCGCCCAAAGTCACCTCCCCCAGAGATGCCACAGGGGGGGAAGCCGTGGAAAAGGAAGAGCAGGAGAAGGGGGCATGGCGAGAAACAGCGGGGGGGGGGGAGGGGGGGGAGGGAGTCATGGGTGAGATCATGAAAGGGAAATAGCAGGGCGGGAGGAGGAGATGAGGGGAAGTGGAGAAAAGACGAGGAAAAGGAGGGGGTACGACGATTGGATAAAAGGGAGCGAGGCAAGTTGGTGCAACGAGTTGCTCTTATGAATCATCTATGAAAGGGGTACTTACAGAGGATTCTGAACAGTGCTGAGTTGGCAACAGGGACGGTTCGGATGGACGAGCTAAAGATACACAGCTAGTAAGAGAGTTTGAGAGAGAGAGCTGTCAACATGAGTACAAGGAAGCATGGAAGGCACACGAGCAGGCAAAAGAAAGGCACAAGGGCGGGCAGGCACAAGGTGGGAAGCTCACTGGGGTCAGCACAGGAGCCAATGCGGGCTGCAGCAATGGCTGTGACCGTGGCTTCTGCCAGAACCGCACCCCACCCTTCCTCCACCCCTGCTCCTGCTGCTGCTGCTGACGAGGCAAGAGAGTCAGCTTGGTCGAAGGAGGAGGAATCAGAGAGTGGAGCAGAGCGCAGCAGGCGCAGGCACGTGGTCATGATGCTGGGTAGCAGAAGCACCTTGCCCTGGCGGGGTGGGTTGCAGGTGCGGGCAAGGGGTGGGTTGCAGGTGCGGGCAAGGGGTGGGTTGCAGGTGCGGGCAAGGGGTGGGTTGCAGGAATGCAGTGATTGAGAATCTGTTAACAATAGCTCCTGAGGAGGCTTACAAGTCATGGGTGCCGTGCAGGAGAACATTTTGAAGCCGTGGGAGTGGTGGAAGGAACACAGGAGTACAAGCCACATCACAAGCCAAGATGCAGCAAACGTAGGTGGTGATTCTGCTTGACAGAAGCAGCAGCAAAAATAGAGCCTCTGCACAGAAGCAGGTAGCACATAGCATGGCAGACGGCATTGCAGATAGCATGGCAGACGGCAATGATTGTTTGTAAGAATCGGGGCAAGTGATTCTAGGAGTGCTACAAGAGGGACGAAGACGAATGGGATGGGGTTGTTACCTGGGAGGAGAGGCGGGGGGCGATGGAGGCGACGAGCTTGAGGGCAGAGATGAGCAGAGATGCCTCTGCTGCTGACAGCGAGGCAGTGGATTCACTGATGGGGGAAAGGGGGGAGGGAGGGGACAAAAGGTAGGGGCATGCAGTATGAAGTGAGTCCTCAAAGGGCTGTGTGGGAGTGAGTGAGTGCAAGAGAAGCAGGTGTTGCGAGAGACAGCAAGTGCAGATGAGCAAAGCACAGTGCATCCAAGGCGGAGGAAGACCCACGTGGAAGAAAGACAAGGTGGAAGAGGCATGGTGTGACTGACAGGGCGGTTCCACTCCATGCAAAGGTGTTCATCTCACGAGTTGCACTGCGCTGCACCTATTGCTGTCAGGGGAAACTAGGGCCGACCGTGACACCTGGCAGGCACTGTCCGCGACTACCATACATCTCAGCGCAATACCCAAGCGTTTGGATGAAGCAGCTCAAGCCTGTAAGGGTCTCTAAGTGAACCCTCCCTAATGGCGGGCCTCTAAGGGACTCTTTCTTACCTGGTGCTATCAGTGGCAGAGTGCAGGGCAGAGTGCAGCAGGTGCATGCATGCCGCCAGGGCAGCTGATACAATGTCCAAGTTGGAGATCAGGGCGTCTGGTGCGCATGCCATGAACTGGGGAGGAAAAGGGGAAGAGGGGAAAAGAGGTGGGGAGAGGCAGAAAGGGGGCGGGGGGGAGATGGATGTTTAAGGATGAAACTGGGAGGGAGCATGGTGAATGCAGAACGGAAAGGTAGAGGGGAGGAAGGCGCAAGGTGGGAATCGAAAGCGCGAATGAGGGAAGCACAGAGGGTGAGCGACAAGGGGAACAAGGGTGGGGACGAAAAGGGCTGCATGTTATGATGGCATGTAGAAGCCGTCCGTCCTTCCTTGGTACTGAAAACGGAAGCTTCCTTGGTGAGTACATCCAGTGCCTGTGCCCTGAAATTTGAAGCACCCCAAGACTTTCGATATTTCAGGCCCGCCAATAAGGCATCTTTTGTTTTGAGGTGCCTCAAAAGTCGTCCTTGGTGCTGAAAAAGGCATGCTACCTTGGTGAGTACGTCCAGTGCCTGTGCCTTGAGCGCCATGTCTCCATCCTCCATCACTGACGCAATGACCTGAGCAACACACACACGCACGGTCAAGCAGCACAAGCAGGAGCAAGCAGAAACCGGTTTTTAGGCTCCTTAAACGTCCAGTGCCTGTGCCTTGAGCGCCATGTCTCCATCCTCCATCACTGACGCAATGACCTGAGCAACACATGCACGCACGGTCAAGCAGCACAAGCAGGGACAGGCGGGAACAAGCGGGAGTGCCGGAGCATTGCGATGGGAAGATTTTCGCCGAGGAAAAGTGTGAGGGGCGGAGGGAAGTTACATTCTATCGTATGTTTAAGCTTGGCAATCAGAATTGAAAGTAGTTGTATCTTGTGCAAATAGGGGCCCCTTCCTCACCTGCAGCAGCTCCAGGCAATCCTCCTCCTCGATAAAGTCACCCCCAAAGAACTCTCGGTGACGTTTGAGTCGACTCAAAAGTCAGCTTGGAGCCCACCCACTCATCCTCACCTGCAACAGCTCCAGGCAGTCCTCTTCCTCGATGAAGTCACCCCCAAAGAACTCCCGCTGCATCAACCGCCCCAACGCCCGCAGCGCCACACTCCTCCCCTCCCCAACAACCGCCCCGCTGCTGCCTCCCTTGCAGCCCCACGACGCATCCGCTTGCAAGAAATCCCCTATCACCACCTCGCCCCCCTGCTCCTGCTGCTCTTGCCCCTGCTGCACCTGCTGCCCATCCTCCGATGTTCTCCTTGACCCCTCTGCCCCTCCGTTTTCCCCAGAACCAGCACCACTGGTCTTATCTCCAGCGGGATGGCAGATGGCATACAGGCAAGCAGCCCATAGCTGGTGAAACTGCTTCGGATCGATGCCCCCATACGATGTGGTACTAGGAGGGCCTTTAGACCCAGCCGAGCTAGGACCTACTGCGAAGACAGGAGCGAGAATCGTCACCCCCGAACCTGCCGCAGCCGCCGCCGCTGCGGCTGCCTCGGCATCTGCTGCCGCAGCTGCAGCGGCTGCAGCAGCCGCTGCCGCAGCTGCTTCCTTCGCCGCAGACAGGTTGGGTTTGACGCCTAAAGTAACAGCATCTAGAACAACCGGGGACGACGCGAGAAGGTACCGTTTGATCAACGGGAGCATGGACGGAGACATCTCAGCAGCGTACGAGGACCGATACACCGCCTGCACGTTTGGCTCGAGGGAGAACGCAGCGAGGTAGTCTCGCAGAAGGGCAACCCAGTGGGACACGAGCAAGTCGGGGGTTTGCTCGACCGCCGCTCGCACTTTACGGAGGGCGGCGAGACGTGTGTCAGACTCGAAATGCTCGTCCTCTGAGTCGTATCCGGCTTCGGGAGTGGCTGCTGTGGCAGGGGCGCCTGCGGCGGCGAGTTGCGCATCGTAGGAGGCGAGAGTGAGGGATTTGAGGCGGGCGTGCCGCACCACTAGCTCGACCTTCACCTGTGGGGGTGCGGTGGGGAGTGGTGGATAAGGGCACAAGGGGGCGTGGGGAGGTTTGTATGGAGATGTGTGGCATGGAGGAGTGGACGTCATAGGTGGAGAGAGTGAGGGACTTGAGGCGGGCGTGCCGCACCACTAGCTTGACCTTCACCTGTGGAGGTGTGTAGGTGGGGGGTGGGGGGGTTGGGGGTGCAGAAGGGTGGACTTGCATAGAAGGATTGAGAGGGATGAAATGATGCTGAGGGGTAGCGGAGGACATGACTGAAGAGATAGTGAAGAGGGGGAGGAATAAGTGTGGGCTGTGACAAACTGCTGCTGGTACGAAAACAATGGATACAAGCTGAACTTGAACGTGCATTTTGAGTTGATAGAACGTGAACAAGAGAAAGGGGAGGGGAGCTGACCTTGAAGCCAACCCATTCTGCATAGGACCAGTTGCCAAGGGCATCCCACTTGCTGAGGGGCGTGGCCAACAGGGTCATGACACGTGGCACCACAGATTCGTCTGAGCCTCTTAACCTGCCGCTCACAACCTGGTCATGTGACACAGAGAGAGGATGTGGGGAAAGAGGGTGGGATATACAGGGAGGGAACAAACGGGGCAGGGGGGAATGGGAAGCGGGTGAATATTGAGGGAGCATATGGAGAACACATGCAGGGAAGGGAGCATACAAGGTGCGCATGGGCATGGGCAGCGGCATGGGCATAGGCATGGGCATGGGCATGGCTACTGGCATGGGCATGGCTACTGGCATGGGCACCACACAAACCACATGCAAACACTACATGCATGCATGCACTAAGCCTAGAGCACAGCACGCAAACAGCACACGAGTACTCTCTGAGAAACAGAAACCAGAATAGCGCAAGAGGATGGTGGGCAGGAGCTCTCACCTTATCTGCCAGCCTGGCACCTGCCAGCAGCAGCAGCGGATTGTTGGCAGCATCCATGGCTGTGCGCACCGTGGACACATACTGCGCCTGGTGGGGTGGAGTGGGACGCACAGATGTACAGGGACGGAAGAGGAAAGGGGGTGGTTTTGTGTGGTTTCGTAGTAGACAACTGGTAGTAGAACCTAACTGGAGGTACTACACGACCAGATTTCGTCCCTAAGTCAGCATCCTCTGTGTCATGGAACATAATCAGCCAGCAACAGCAATACGGGCAGAGGATTTTCAAATCAAAAGAAGGGAACCTATAATGTAAGTACCTGGTATTGCTCGAGCAGAATGTGGCCCTCAAAGTCTGGATCCTCTGTGTGACCAAACTGCATCAGCCAGGACGACGGGCAGAGCGGACAGGGAGGGAGGGAAAGAGGGGGAGAATGAGATGGGAGAGGGGGAGATGAGGAGAGGAGAGCTGCAGGAAGGAAGAAGAGCCTGGTGCTGAATAGTATGGATAGCACGCCTAGACTACTCAAGAAGAGGCATTTGAAGCGAGCGGGGAGCAGCGGGAAGAGAGCAAAGAGCAAGGAGCGTAGAGCGGAGCAGAGCAGAATGGAGCGGGGCAGGGCGGAGCAGAGCAGGGCAGAGCGGAACAGGGCGGGGGAGCATGGAGCGGAACAGAGCAGAGAGTATCCCGCTCATGGGGGAACACACGCACCTTGTCCAGTATGGTCCCAAGGAGAGACACCCCCATGGGGCGAACGCCTTCCATGCTTCCTGTTGCCATCTGGGAGAGGCGTCGGGAGGGCATGGTGGCGGGCAGAGGGCGGGGGGCGGAGGGTGGGGGGTGGAGGTTTTAGACGTCTTAAGCTTAAAGAAGGAAGTAGGGTGGTGAGAGAAACGGAGGTGGAAGAGGTGACGGTGAGGGAGATATAGAGGGATAAGGATGGGTAGGATATGGTGGAAGGACAACACTCCGAGGACGAGAGGAGATACAGGAAAGAAGTGAGAGGGAAAAGCAAGAGAGACGGAGCTTTGAGATGCCTAAACACGTGAACCCACTCTTCCCCACTGTCCCTCTCTGCCCCTTCACACACGCGCCCACCCTCACAAAGCCTCTGAGAGCCCACCTGGAAGGCCACAGCCACGAGGTCACCCAGATGCAGCACGAGCCAGTCCGCCTGCTGTGCACTGCCTCCGCTCTCTCTCCTCTCCTACACGCACCTCAAGACGCCTCCAGACACATCGCATCCCAACAACCCACCTGGAAGGCCACAGCCACAAGGTCACCCAGATGCAGCACGAGGCAGTCCGCCTGCTGTGCACTGCCCGCGCTGCTGCCCCCCCTGCCGCCCCTGCTCTCCCACACACACACATTCCTCACAGCACCTCCTTCAGATACATGCCAATGTCATCCAGAGAGCCCACCTGGAAGGCCACAGCCACGAGGTCACCCAGATGCAGCACGAGCCAGTCCGCCTGCTGTGCACTGCCCCCTCCACTCTCGCGGCCGGCCTGCCTCCTCGCGTCCACTTTATGTTTTGCGACAGTGATGTCAAAGTGAGCAGGGTCGGAGCCCACCATGTAGGGCAGCCGGGAGAGGCACCTGGGCGCGGCAGGGGATAAAGCGCAGGGAGGAAGTGCAGCAGGGCGAAAGGAGAGAACGCGTTTAGATTTGTCTTGGAAAACACATTAGAGTGAGCAGGGTAGGAGCCCACCATGTAGGGCAGCCGGGAGAGGCACCTGGGCAAGGCAGGGGATAAAGCGCAGGGAGGAAGTGCAGTGCAGCAGAGCGAAAGGAGAGAACGCGTTTAGATTTGTCTTGGAGAACACATCAAAGTGAGCAGGGTCGGAGCCCACCATGTAGGGCAGCCGGGAGAGGCACCTGGGCAAGGCAGGGGATGACACAAGGGCGAAAAACACACAGGGAGCAGGTGCAGGGGACGACGCAAGGGCGAAAGGAGAGAGAGTGTTTAGATTTGTCTTGAAGAACACTTTAGAGTGAGCAGGGTCAGAGCCCACCACGTAGGACAGCCAGGATAGACACCTGGGCGCAGCAGGGGACAAAACGCAGGGAGCAGGTGCAGGGGATGACGCAAGGGCGAAAGGGAAAAGAGTGTTTAAGTTAGTTCTGGAGACCACATAAAGGTGAGCAGGGTTCAAACCCACCATGTGGGGCAGCCGGGACATGCACCTGGGCGTCACGACGACGGGAGGGTGGCAGGAGGGACAGGCGGCCTTGTTCGCTTCGCTGAAGAAGAGTGGGATAGAGGACTCTTGAGTTGACTGGGAAGAAGCATCGAAGTGAACAGGGTCCAGCCCACCAGGTAGGGCAACTGGGAGAGACACCTGGGCGGGTGACGTGGAGCCTAAGGGAGAAGACACACCAGCTGCGAGGGCAAAACACGCCATGAAGAACTCACTTTGCCGCAAACACTCTCGTCCTGAACCTTGGCAGCTGATCCACTCCCCTCCTCACTGCCCCTCCTCCCCCTCCTCCCACGCCCCCAATCGGTGTCCCTCCACCTATCCCTGCCCCGCCCCCTTTCCCCGCTCCTCCTCCCCCTCCCGCTCCCCCTGCCCCCGCCCCAGCTCCTGCTGCTCCCCCTGTGCGCGCTCCATCCCCCCCTGCCGCCACCATACTCTCATCATCCTCCTCGTCCTCCCCTGCTTCCCCCTTCCGCCCCTCCCCTGCGACTTCCTTTGCCTCGCCTGCTCTCCTAGTGGCAGACGCTGCTAGCACCTGAAAGAAAATGATATGCCCGGGGTGGGTGGGAAGGACGAGGCACAGGTGGGTGGGTAGCGCGGTTTTGCGGGAAGAGGAGAGGGGTGGAAAGGGGCGTGGAGGAAGGGGGCGGAGAGTGGAGAGGGTGGGGGAGAAAAAACGAGGCAGCTGATACGGAACCCGGAGACGCACACGAGAAAAAATCTCAATGATTCATGGCTACACAGGAAGAAAGGTCTAAGGAGGAGCTATCTACAGCGGCAACAAACAACTTCTGGAAAGAAGAGGAGGGAAGAGCAGACGAAGCTGAGGGAAGTTGGAGAGAGGGAAAGGAGATTTTGCAACAGGAAATCGTGAAGAGGTAGCACTAGTATGGCGTACATACCACGTTCTTGCAGAGGCGAAGCCATCGACTGGGGTATGTGGGGCATGCAGCCTCTAGCAGTCGCTCCAAGGCCATGCACACACCGGATATGACCCTGGCCAGTGATGCAGACAGACAAAGAATGGGCATTTGGTGGGAAGGGGGATGGAAACAAAGGAAAATCATTTTTTAGGCGCCTCAAAGATCATGCAGCCTCCAGGCAGGAGTCGCCCTTAAGACAATGCACACACCGGATATGCCCCTGGCCAGTGATGCAGACAAAGCAAAGGGCGTGTGAGGAAACGACAGAAACGAAGGAACCCAAAAGAAGAAAAAAAAAAGGGGGGGGGGAGGGGAGGGGGAGGGGGAGGGAGGGGGGGGGGGGGGGGGGGGGGGGTGACATTACACTCATGCATATCTGCCCTGGACCCCACCCTGCCCCATGCGCAAATGCACACCCGCCCCATGCACGCATGCACGGCACGCATGTGCGCACACACACCTGGGGTCCGTCTCGTTGTCAAGCATGGAAAAGAGGTCCTCCTCTATCTGCTCTGATACCATGGCCGCCTGACAGCAAGAGCGGCAGCAGAGAAGGTCACAGGTGCAGCACGTAGAACCACATCACCGAGCATGTATAGCATGAGAGGGTGGGGTGGGGGTGAAGGGTTGGAGGAACACAGCACAGATTGGGAAAAAATGAGCATTGTTTGTTACATCAAACTACAGTTTTTCACTTCTGCTAAAAGGAATGTAATGTAAAAGTGAGTGCAGGAGTGGAGGAAAAGTTAACTGACACTTGATACTGCGAGGTATGAGAAGAATCCATCCTACAAGAAAAGCCAGACGCTGACAGGAAGCGCAAAAAAGGGAGGTGCTTACCGGCTCTCTCTCACACATGTGACGCAGAGTGGAAATGGCAGCAAACCGCAAACTCGGCTGCATGGGTGAAAAAAGGGTTGCAAGGGGTGGAAAGCCAGAAAAACAAGGTGTAAGGCGAAAGAAATGGAAATTATGGAGATCTTGTGAGGCAGGGGGCATTTACCCTGACTTGTGCATGGCCTTAAGGCATTTATCCTTAAGGTTTTTAAGGGCACGTAGAACAAAAAATTAAGTCACGAGAACAACGGGAAGAAAGGCAAAGCGCTGAGGTGAGGAAAGGGAGGTGAGCAGACAGTGGCCATCGAGGGAACATGGGGAAAATGAAAGGTGGAGGGCAAGTGGAGTTCAGATGGGAAAGGAACAAATGGCACGGCTTGGCATGGGATGGAATGCCATGGCCTGGCGTGACATGAGATGGCATGAGATGGCATGGGATGGCATGGGATGGCATGGGATGGGATGGCACCTGGCGGGAGGTGAGGGTGGCGCGGAGGGTGGTAACATGGTGGTGCAGAGGCATGGCCTGAGGCGCAAACAGCACCAGCTGCTGTGTGTACAGCACACACCTGAGAGCATGGGGGGGCAGGCAAGGGGGGAAGGGGGGGGGGAGAGGGGAGTTGGGGCGGTGAGTTAGGAGGAGGAAGGATGCATGAGTTAGGACAGGATATTCTTTAAACCTTGAGACAACATTTAGGACAAAGAGCAGGAATTCTGAAGGCGGAGAGAAGAGGAAGAATGGGAGGGAGAGAGAGGGGGATGGGAGTGGAAGAGGGAGAGGGAGAGGAGGGGAGTGCAAGAGGGGGGAAAGGGGTGGTGGGGGGGACGACACGGCGATAGAAGGAGAGAACGAATGCAGCAGGGTGGCTTACTCTAGCTGTGCAGCAGGGTCGTTTCTCTGGCTGATGTCATCCAGAATACACTGTCACATGGAGCGCATTCCATTCCAGAACCGGCAGGCAAGGGAAGAAGAGAGAGAAAGAGGCGGAAGGAGAGAGGAAGAGAGAGAAAGAGAAGGGCCCCATTTGGTTAGTGAGTTGCATTGCATTCTTAGAGAAAAAGAGGAAGGTAGCTTGGTGAACAGTGAGTGAGCCAGTGAGAGCAGGAAAGTGCAACCTGGTACCTTGCAGTGGTAGAAAACCGTGGAGCCTGGAAGCAGCTCGGGAGGGCCAAAGACGGTTACCAGGGCATTGACCAGACGAGCCACGCTCTCTGAAGAAGGCTTTGAGACGCCTCAAAATCGAGTTTTGAGACGTTTCAGAACTCACCTTGCAGCGGTAGAAGACCGTAGAGCCTGGGAGCAGCTCAGGGCCAAAGACGGCCACGAGGGCGTTGACCAGACGAGCCACGCTCTGAGGCAAGCCCGCTGCGACGTGGTCGTCTGACAGCAGCACGTCCATCAGCAGCGACAAGGTGGCCTGGGGGGACATGGTGGTGGGATGGAGGGATGGGGGGTATGGGGGGATACAGAAACGATTGCTGGGCGCATGGAGGCAGGCCCGCTGCAACGTGGTCGTCTGACAGCAGCACATCCATCAGCAGCGACAAGGTGGCCTGGGGGGGCATGGTATGGTGGGGATGAGGGGATGAGTATGTGGGGTGCACACATGGGTTTACAGGAGAGCACGGAGCACATAAGCGATCACTCAGTGTATGTGTGTGAGTAGGCCCGCCTGCTGCAATGTTATTGTCCAACAGCAGCGACAGGGTAGCCTGGGGGGACATGGTGGGGATGGGAGAATGAGTATGTGGGGTGCGCACACAGGAGGGTGGCGCACACGAGCAATTATTGGGTGGATGGGGGAAGGCACACTGTCTCACGTGAATCGAAGCACATTCGTTAGTAGCAGATTTTGCCAACGTGACAAAGTTGATCGAGTTTTCATTTGAAAGGCTTATCAAGGGCGCATAAATTATCCGTGGCCCAGCACAGGAAAAGAGGGGGAGGAAGGGGAAGGAGGAGGGAGGAAGAGCAAGAAAGAGGGAGTAAGTGGTAGGAAGAGGGAGAATAAACACGGGGAAAACCTCACCTGTACATGGGGAGTGTACGAGAGGCCAGCAGCGTCGGCAGCAAGCCAGAGCGCGTGCAGAGCCCAGATGTGCCCCAGGTGCTCTCCTGGTGCACGTGCCATGGCCATTAGGAACTGCACCACTGGGGAGATGAAGGATGAGAGCGCTATGCCACCCACACTGAGAATGGGGTAGGGATATTGGAGAAGAGCGGAAAGAAAGAAGCGGGAGAGGGGGGCGTGATGGGCAATGGCACGTGCCATGGCCATAAGGAACTGCACAACCGGGGAAACAAAGGACAACAGCTCTATGCCACCCTCACTGGGGAAGGGGAAGTGGGATGATGGGGAAAAGGGGCAATAAGGAGCCACAGCATAAGGAACTGCACCAATAGAGACACGAGACGACAGCGCTATGCAGCCCACACTAGGGAAGTGCAAGAGGGAGGCATACGGAGGAGAGTAGCACCACAGGGAAAGGTATCAATGGGACAATCAAAGAGGGTGAGGGGAGATAAGCGGGACACGGCATGTGAAAGGTGAAAAATGGCTCACTCCCAACCTCTGTGGGGCTGCAATGGAAGAACAAAGACAGGCGAGAGAGGTGTGAGCAGCGAGGAGGGAGGGAGGAGGGGGAGGAGGAGGGAGCAGCGGGGAGAGTACGAGAAATCAAACGAGACATGGAGGGTATGCAACGCAACTGACCTGCGGAGCACTGATCCGAATGCGAGAGCGACAGCTGCCCTGGTGGAGGGGTCAGTGGCCGCTTCCCCCTCTGCCAGTAGAGAACGGATCTGAGAGGGCGCATAGCCGGGGAGAGAAGGACAGGGGGGGAGTGGGAGGGAGGGGTGAGAGAAAAGGAAGGAAGGTGAGAAGGGAATCTATAGAACGAACGCGGATGGACAGGGGTGACACACAGTGAGAGAGACAGACAAGACGCAATGGCCTGGCCTTTTCCTGGCTCATATATTGCAGCTGAGGCAGTAAAGGGGACTATCTCCCAGGCAAGCAAACAGACCAAGGGCCTCTTCAAACGTCTCAGATGTGTTGTCACACCAGGCGGGCAACAAAGAGTTCTTTTGTCTTGTCACCCAGACAAGCCAGCGAGCCAATTTTGAGGCGCCCAAACATACACAAGCCAACAACAGCCCAGGGGCATCTTGAGACGTCTCGGATGAGAAGTCTCACCAGGCGCACAGCAAAGAGATCGTCTCCCAGGCGAGCCAGCAGGCCCAAGGCCTCTGCTGACGCCCTCTTGAACGCTGGGTTGGACGGGTCACTCGCCACAAAGCTCTGTAGCGGGGGGGAGAGGGGGAGAGACGGGGGAAGAGAGAGGAAAGGGTAGGCGAGAGGGGGAGAGGGGGGAAGAAAGAGAAAGAGAGGGGAAGAGAGGGGCGAGAGGGACGAGAGGGGGTGAGTGGGATGAGATAGAATGAGAGGGGGAGAGAGGTGGAGAGAAGGGATGAGAGGAGGAGAGGGGGGGGGGGGGGGGGGGGGGGGGAGGAAAAGGTTTGACAGCACACTCGTACACAGCAAAACGGCTGTGGCAGCAACAAAACAAGCACAACAGACTGGTGTAAGGGAAGGACATGTGGGCAGCAGCCTAAGCAGTGGGTTCCCCCATCAAGGAGGTTGACTTGACACTTATCCGAGCACTGCCCAGGAAGAAAGTGCTGAGTAGTAAGGGACCCTCCAAGTGGGTGGATGCGCCAGCCTACCTGAACCAGCGCCTGGATACGACGCAGGGTCTCTGCATCCTCCTCCTTTGCCTTGCGTGCTACCATGGCCTGATGCAAGCCGTGTGGTACAACAGGGAGGCAACAACGGGGAGATGGGGAGGAGGGAGAGGGCGGGAGGGAGGAGTGAGGGAGCAGAGCGTCTCAACAGTAAGTTACCGTGGTCCTACGTGTGGGATGTCAAAGGATGGGGACGAGGGGGAGGGGGGAACGGGGGGGGATTGAGTGAGGGGGGAGGAATTGACGGGAATGGGTAGCATATTGGGGTGGGGTGAAAGCAGGTCATACAGAGGAGCAGGTCTGTGTGTGTATATGCTTCGTGAGCTTTCACTGCAAGCACGCCCTTCCCCCCCCCCCCCCCCCCCCCCCCCCCCCCCACCTTCCCCCTCCCAACACACACACACAACCACCGGACATGAGCGCGAAACTCACCTTGAGAGTGCCAACCACCACCACACAGGCATTGGCAGTGGCAGAGACGCGCAGAGCCTGGCGCTTGTTGCCCTTCACCGCCACAGACAAGGTATCCACCAGCGCTACCTTGGACATTGGAACCTGCGAGCACGTTGTGCACGGGGATGGGCGAAAAACAGGGTGTTTTGATTACAATCATTGGAAAGGCATGCATGGAATTGGAGTGCCTGTATACATCAGCAGGTCTGCAGCGGGTTAACCCAAGGGCTATTGCATATGAAACGGCTGACAGTGTTAGAAAATTAGCTTATGGGGCATGGACCATGGGGTATGCAGCATTGCATATGGGACACGGGGCATGGGGCATGGGTGGGCATGGGGCGTGGGGCATGTGACATGGGACATGGGGGATGGGGCATGCAGCATGGGGCATGGGGTATTGAGCATATGGTATGATGGCACCTGGATGGGGAAGAGCGCGATGAAGCAGCGTAGCATGGAGTCGACTAGAGCCACTCCCAGAGGCACGGACTGCAGTGGCGGTGCCATGGCGATGCGGGGAATGATGGGGAAGAGATGGAGAAAGGGAAGGGGGCGTCAGGCATGGAAGCGAGGGGTTAATGAGAGGCTGAACATGGGAAATTATGCAGGGCGTTAAGTAGCGGGTGGGGGGCAAAAGGGGGGATGGGAAGCGAAGTTGAACCCAAGGTGAGAAAGAGTTCTGTGGTAGCTGCACTGCTAGCTTCAGGAGAGAGGAGGCGCCGGGTGTGTAGGATGTGTGAGGTGTGTGGGGTGTGGGGTGTGTGGGGTGTGGGGTGTGTGGGGTGTGTGGAGTGTGTGGGGTGTGTAGGGTGTGTGGGGTGTGTAGAGTGCGTAGGTGTGTGCATGTGAAATATCATATAAGCACAAGGGGGGGTTGCACCTGTGGGAAGGTGGAGGTGTCATCTTCCCAGACAGACGCAATGACCCCATCCATGCCACCCTCCAGCGCACGTAACTCGTCCTCCAGCACATCCCTGTGTGATAGCACACACTCACGCACACGCACACGCACATGCATGCACACGCACATGCACATGCACACACACACATGCATGCAAACATTCACACACACGCACTCACACACATGCTCGCACACGCTCACACACACACACGGACAAATGCACACACACAGCGGCACACGCGCATGCACGCACACATGCACATGCATATGAACTGGCGGTTCTGTATGCATGTTCGTATGTAGGCATGTGTGTGTGTACACAGTGCTGTGTACATGCATCCACCAGACACTGCAAGGGGCAAACATGTCGTTGACAGGCTAGAAAGCTGGAGCGAGGGAGAGAAGGAACAAGAGTCGGAACAGGTAATGGAGGGAAGCTGACCTTCCCGGGAACCAGGGGCCAAGATTGGAGTCACTGGGCTCTAGCAGAGTGCGGAGGAGAGAGCTGCTCGGGTATGATGCCGTTTCTCTGAGGGCGCCAGGGTGGTGGGGGAAGAGTGGGCGAGAGAAGTGGGGTTGAGAGGGGGGGAAAGAGGGAGGTCGTAAACTAATGAAGGGAGCAACGGAATTGGAAGGGGGTGGTGGTCGGTTGTACTGGTTAAATGGTGGACTGGTAGGGTGGCGAGAACGAGGAGAAGGCCACGGCAGAGCACAGTAGCAGGAGAGCGGCTCAAGGACAGTGACATGGAAGGGATCAAATCAAGCAAGGGAAGTACCGGAAGGGAGCGGTGCAGATGTCGATGAGCATGGGGTGCAGGTGGCGGTAGAGTGCAGGGTCGGGCAACGCGTGGAAGGTGTTGAGCGTGCGCACTATGAACAGCTCCGCGTGCTGCTTCACTGATGACGACGCCTCGCCCAGGGTTGATGACGCAATGTACGTCAGTGCTCTGTGAGGTGGGGAAGCAAGGGGAAAGAGGAGGGGGAGGAGAAAGAGAACGGAAACGAAGGAGGGAAGGGCACTATGAAGAGCTCCGCGTGCTGCTTCACCGGTGACGACGCCTCGCCCAGGGTTGACGATGCAATGTATGTGAGTGCTCTGAGGTGGGGATGAGGGAAAGGAAGATGAGGGAAGAGGGACAGGAACCATAAGACAATAACTCAATTCAAACCTTAGGATGTATCCCCCATACCAATGAGTCTCCTTATGCAATAATCTACTCCACATCAGTAACCCAAACTCAATTCATACAGAAACACCTACACCAGCAGCAGCAACTACGTACCCTGAGAGGTAGCCCATGATGGGGTTGATGGTCTCAGCCACAGAGGGAGTTGCAAGGTTGGGCACCACATAGCTCACAATGAACGCCCTCAGAGCATCCATGGCTGCGGACCAGCAGCTGAGAAGTCACAGGGGTGGGGTGAGATGTGAAGGGGGGGGGGGGGGGGGGTTGACAAGGGGGGGTGGTAACCGAAACTGAGAAGTCTAACCAGCTCAGAGATTGGCTCAGTCGCTGTAAGCTGAACGCTCAGCACAGAGCATCATGGATGCGGTGCGGACCAGCAGCTGACACACGTCACGGGGGAAAGAAAGAATCATGTTATGGACAGGGAAAGGTGGGAATCTTGGTGGAGAGAAAATGGCTGAAGCGTGGACGCATGCACATGAAAAAGATGGATGGATATGGGCGGAAGAGAAACAAACACATGCAAAGGTCGACTCGACCAACTATACATCCACTGATGTCGACAATGAACAAAAGATCGGTGGAAACGGCTAAAAGAGTGGCAAGCGCAGAGAAGACTCTACGACAAGAGGAGCGACTAAGTGGAACAAAGATTGCGGGTGGAGAAAGCGGGAACGCACTTGAGCTCTCCAGGCAGGCTTGCAGCGTCAATTCTCTTGACTCGGTCGGCGCAGCTGCCCCCAAAGGGCATGGTCCACAGAGCAAGAAACTCCACCTCCCTCCGTGCCACCTCCTGCCAGCCACCACCGCATGTGACAAGACGCGAGAGAGAGGATAGGAGGTTGGGGCAAAAGGGGAGAGGGGAATTTGACTTTGAGTTCGGTTCGGGATGAGCTGGTTTTTGGCTAGTTTGATGAAGATTGGCATGGAGCATTAGAAAGGACAATGGGGCACGGCCAGTGAAGGAGGGAACGTAAGAAATTACTTCAGAGGAGAAAGAAGCAAGCTAAAGGATAGGAGCAAGAATCAAGGCACCCACCTCCTTGGGCATGGAGAGCAGCAGCGAGGCAATGAGGATCCAGCCCGCCTCGTGGTCTGCTGCTGCTGCTGCTGGCAGCTGGCCTGGCGACAGCACCATCTGCTGTGCCATGTCGAGAATGGAGAGTGAGAGGCTGCAGGGAGAGAGGGAAGGGCGGCGGGGGATGAGGGTGGGGAAGACAGAGTGAGGACGAGAGGTGGGGGCGAGAGTGGTGGGGGGAGATGGAACAAGGGGATGATACAATGGGTTATGGCATGCCTTCCAGTTAAAAAGAACTAGGAAAGGGAAGGGGAGGGAGAGAGCAGCAACTGTTTGATGGGTGGCAATGGCATCATAAGGAAGTTCAGATTCTTGGGCGCGCTCAACTCAAAGCGAAAATGCGGAGACACGTGGCGTTCCACGGCCAAAAAGGCAAGAGGCGAGAGGCGAGAGACGAGAAGCAAGAGGCAAAGGGAAAGAGGTAAGAGGCAAAGGGTAAGAGGCAAGGGACAAGAGGCAAGGGGCAGGAGGCAAGTAGCAAGGGGCAAGAAGAAATCTTTTAGGTCACCTGGAAGGGAGACCGAGGGGCAGCTTGGGCCCAAGGACGAGCAGAGCGGAGAGCATGAGCGCTTGGCCATGCAGAGAGTCTAGAGTCAGCTTCAAACGCTCACCCTGCAGGTATGCACAGAGACACACACACACACACACGAAGTAGTGGGTTGCAGGTGCAACAAAGTGAGGGAAAGTGGGCATTGCACTGCAATGCCGAGAGCCCATACGGAAGGAAACGCAGGGCACATCGTGAGACTATGCGTGACGTATGGCGTGCGCGGCATGCAAGGATCAAAATTACGGTCGTATTTTTGAAATGTTACCGTTTTATACGGTTTCTTATAATAGGCTCCTGTGAGAAATCGTAGAGCAATTTCAAAAATACGACCGTATTTTTTAACCTTGGCGGCATGGCATGGCATGGCAATCTACATGACCAGCCAATGGCAATGAGGAACGAGCAGAGGGAGGAAAGTGCACGCACTTTCTCTGTGTTCATGGTTTCGCTGAGTGCACACAGTGCAGTGAAGCTAGAGAGGATGAAAGAGTGGCCACGGGACGACTTTTGAGGTGCCTCAAAAATGAAAAATAAGCAGACAGAGGAGGGCGCACCTTCTCAGTGTTCATGGTTTCCCTGAGCGCACGGAGAGCAGTGAAGCCGGAGAGGATAAAGGAGTGGGCACGGGACGCGTCCACCTGCGCCAGCACCTTGATGGTGCGCGCTGCCTCCACCCGCACCTGATGCCATGCCATGCCGTGATGTGTCATGTCATTCCATGCCATGTGGTGCCATGCCGTGTTGTGTAGTGCCATGGCGTGTCATGTTGTGTAGTGCAATGCCATGCCATGCCATGACATGTTAGTTGTTGTGCCATACCGTCTTGTGCCATGCCATCACAAAGCGATCAAGCAGCAAATCCCATGCCAGGCTCATGCCCAGACCCAGTGGAACAATACCCATGGCACATACGCAAGGGTGCAGAATAAACAAGGGGATAACGTCAGCAGGGAAGCAGGCACCAGAGCACAGCACACATGCACAACCCATAATCACACACGCAGCAGCACACAGCACGCAGCAGGAGCGCATTGTACTTCATTGTAAACCGGAAGCATGGGGAACATAACACAGCATCAGCTATGTGTGCTGACGTGACTTCACAGAGCCAAAGGTCATTTAGCATGGAAGCCCGGCCCAGCTACAGCACAGAGCGGCGCACAGTGGAGTACGCACAGCAGGAGAGGAGTTGGAGAGAGTTGCCAGCAGACCGTAGTCCAGTGCCTCTCTCGCTGCTTGCGTGACCTGCACAGCACAGCACCGCACCGCACAGCAGGGTGATGCAACTTGAGGCACGCGAATGCAAGGGCAGGGAGGAGCGAGTCATGAATGACGACGAGTGCACAAGTGGAAACAAATCAGGGATGGAGGAAGAGAGCACGCATAAGCACGAATCGTTTCCTTTGCTTTGATACTCGTACTTTTGAAAATAACAAAAGCACAGCTCAAATCTCATTTCAACTCTCAAGGCTCATCTGATAGGATTGACCAGATTCGGTTCTACAACTACTGATGATCAGGTTGGAAGTTGGTTGGACGGGAGTGCACACACTAGGGATGAGCAAAGGGCGAACACGAACATGTTCGTCTTCGCCCCTTGTCGAACACCCTCTTTTGCCGAACCGAACACTGTTCGGTTCGGCGAACAGTTTAGGAAAAAACAGGTGTTCGCTGTTCGCCTGTGGAGGCGTGTTCGGGCGAACCTCGAACACTGTTCGTGTTCGTCGCGGGCAAATTTCAGCAGCGGCCCGAACACGAACGTGTTCGGGCGAACATCGCACACTGTTCGGCGAACGATTTGAGCTAAAAAACAAAACCTGTTCGGTTCGCCTCGAACACGTTCGAGGCGAACCGAACAGGTGTTCGCCACCTTGCTCATCCCTAGCACACACAACAAGCACAGACCTCGCCAAGCGTGTTGAGGAGGTGGGAGAGCGTGCGCAGAGCAGCAACGAGCATGTGCGGACCCATGTCACTGGCTGTCAGCTGCGCTTGTGGGCAGAGGTTGTGGGCGAGGGGTGGGAAGGGGAGCGAGGAGGGGGAAGGGGTGGGGGAGGAGGAGAAGTGGGGGAGGAGGAGAATTTGGGGAGTGTGAAGGGGAAAGAGAAAGGCTGCTGGGGTCCGGGAAAGTGCATATTGTGTGTTGTGAAATGTGATGAGTAAAGTGGATAGAAAACAGGGTGTGCGTGAGAGCCACAGCATTGTTGATCAAGTACGCATGTGGTGTGACGGCCACACAACACCGCACCACACCACACCACACCACACCACACCACACAGGACCTCATCTGCTGATACCATTCCCAACACCAGAATTGGCACCAGCGCAGCACCACCATGCATTCAAACGGAGGATGCTGGGCTGAGGAAGGGTCAAGGGAGTGAACACCCCTGAAAGGCTTGGCTGAGATCAATCACATCACCTCACAACCTAGACACGTGTTACAGGCAGCGGGCTGGAACGACCAACCACCCATGCATGGCATGGCCTCCTTTGGATCGACTCATACCAGTCCTTCCCTTTTCATCCTTATCCCATTCCGCTCCTCTTTCCAATTCTCTACCTTCTCTCCTCCTTCTCTCTCCCCTCCTCACCGCAGTCCCACCTGGTGTGTGAGTGTTCGAGTGAACTCCCGCTGTGCTTCCTCCCCCATCTGCTCCACAAGCCCCACTTGAAGAATGTAGAGAGCACATGCCTGCACACAACCCGCCATAGCAACAACATACATCCATCTGTTAATCCTCGGTGCAAGTTCCTTAGCAACTGCTGATTGCCACGTGTATATGACTGGACGATCTATGGCTGCTTCCCCTTCCCACACGCGCCTGCACACTGACAGCAACGCCTCATTCCATCCACACCACCACATACCACAGTCACACCACTTATCACCACCACGTACCGCACCACCTCACTCCAACCCTATCCAGCACGCCACAATTCCACACAAGCCGCGCCTCCTCTTCCCCTCTCCCTATCCCTCCCATCTCCCTATCCCCCTCCCCTGTCCCCCCTCGGCTCGCACCTGAGCCTGCGAGTCAATGGAACGAGCATAGGCGGGCAGAAGCGCCAGGGCCTGCATGCCATAGGGCACCAGGTCCATGTCTGCTACTCCATACTGAGCCCTCAAACTCTGATGGGGGGGGGGGAGGAGGGAGAGAGGAGCGGCGGAGGGGGGTTAGAGGGATGGGCTGCGAAAAGGCCCTACATCGCCAGGGCCTGCATGCCATAGGGCACCAGGTCCATGTCCGCTACCCCGTACTGCGCCCTCAGACTCTGGGAGGGGACGGTGAGGGAGGAGGGAGGGAAGGGGGGGAGGGGGCGGGGAGAGATCGAGGGGGAGGGGAGAATTAGAGTGATAGGTTGCGAGAAGGGCATGCATGGCAAAGGGCACCAGGTCTGGCTGCGCTGCATACCACTGGGACGTGTGTAAGTAGATGACTTTTGAGATGTCTCACCTGGAGCAGCGCCACCCATGCCATAGCAATGGCCAATCGGATCTCCTTGCTGCGCGATGCTGGGGCTGCACACATGCACACAGACATGCACACAGACATGCACACAGACATGCACACAGACATGCACACAGACATGCACACAGACATGCACACAGACATGCACACAGACATGCGCACAGACATGCACACACGTACATGCACACATGCACACATGCACACATGCAGACACGAGGATTTGCACACTCATACAGCACAGGCAGATAGGCGCGCAAACAAGCATGCATACTCGCAGAGCACTCTCATGTGCACCCATGTGCATGCACACTCAAGCTCGTTGAGAACAAAGAGGCGAAAAACACACACACACACACACACACACACACACACACACACACACACACACACACACACACACACACACACACACACAAAACATGGATTTTCAGACAATAAGAAACTGCAGGCCTGAAGCCATGCAAAGCAGCAGGAGACAGAATCTTCTATCAGCCAGCTCCGCATGAAGCCATGATAACATGCTTCAAGCGGAGAAAAGAAGATGTCAATGCTTCACCCGACAGCAGAGGGTGTGGACTTGAGTGCAGTGGGGCGCACCTCGAACAAACGGTGTAGTGAGGTACTTCTGAATGGCATTGTCCATGGCCTTGGGGGGCGCTGCTGACGACTTGCCCCTGGGGACAATCTGCAAGCATTACACACACACACATTGTGACATATGTACATGCAGTGCACACAAAATAAGAAACACATGCACGCATGAGTGTGTGCAGTGCGCCGTGCATACCCTCTCTTGCAAGAACAGGACATGACAGAACGACATGAGCAAGCAAGGAGGTTCAAGGGAGCAAACCAGAAGAACACACATCAGAAACAGCATTCGCTCACTTGCTCCCACTTCCTTCACCCTTCCCCTTTGACCTACCTCTCTATCATTCCCTCGCTCACACACACACAGCAAGAACAAACACCCAGCAAAGCTGACCTGAGCGGAAGGGTTGAGGCCGAGAGCCACCACCGCTCCCAGTGCAGCAGCAAAAGCGTCCCTCACAGCCTGCGCTGGGTCGTCCACCGCCTGTTAGTGTGCCATGCACATGCACATGCCCATGGCCGTGATCATGCCCATGCCCAAGCCCATGCCCAAGCCCATGCCCATGCCCATGCCCATGCCCATGCCCTTGCCCATGCCCATGCCCGCGCACATTCCCACGCCCGTGCCCCAGCACACACCCAGCAAAACGTTTATTACAATATCTCACACCACAACTGGGCAGCCTAACACTGAACAAATAAACAGCCATCTATATACCATGATCCTCCAATTCCTCAAAACAAGCACAGGCATGTTTCCACGCCACACGGCTTCCATTCTCCTCGTTTCATTCCCCCACTTCAGGTTTCCAATCCACACACACGGCTTCCTTTCTCCTCCCTCTCTTCTCTCCTCGTCCAGCACCGTCCTCCCACCCACACACAGCTACACCATAGAATCCAGCGCACCTCTCGCCAGCCCTGGTCCCCCAATACCCGTCCGCAAGTGCCTGCCTGGATGCGGTATGCTCTGGTCTTGCTCACAAAAAGGGGCCCACGATTGTCCCTCACACCCACCTTCACACACAGCTGCGCCATGGAATCCAGCGCCCCTCCCGCCAGCCCCGGCCCGCCGGTAACCGCGAGCGCCTGGATGCAGTGTGCCGTGGTCTCGCGCACCAGGGCGGACCTATCTCTCACGCCATAGCCGGAGAGTGCGCGCACTGCGTCAGTGTACGCGGAAGTGGGGCCCGCGCCTTTCATCACCTCGATTGCTGCCAGCAGCAGCTGCAGGGATGCGTTCCGCACGCTGGGCTGATGGGGGGAAGGAGTGGGGGACGCGGCAAAGGACGGTGGTAAGGAGGGAAGAGAGCGAGAGTTGGTGGGAATGAGTGTGGAACTGAAGGAAGGGGAGCCGGAAAGCCTGCAGAATGGAAGAGAAACTGAGGGCACGGAGGATGAAAATGCAGCAGCGGACCACAATGGATGGCTGGCCATGTGGAGAAGGAAATCGACAGCAGAGAAAGGAAAGGGAAATCCAACGGAGGGAGAGAACGGGCCATTTGAGGAAGCAAGCACAGACAGACCTCTGCATTGCGCAACAGCCGGCTGACAACGTTGACGGTCTCTGTGAGGCTGGATGCAATCCGCGTGCCGAACACACGTGTGATGGTTGTCAACGCTTCCAGCGCCCCTGCTCGTGGGAGATTTGGAAGTCATGCATTTGTTGAAGGCAGTAGGCGGGCAGGATGGATGGATGGATGGACCACACGGGTCAGTGGATCATCATGTGTGACACGATTACAATACAGATCATCAGTGACTGAGCGATATGGAAGACAATGTCATCATTGCAGGGATGGGAGCGTGCATGAGAGGGAGAGAAGGGAGAATACGGGCAAAATGGTTCTTATGGTTCTTACCCTGTACTCAGAACTTGCAGTGTCATTCAAACACCACCCTTACTACACCCCATTCATACACACTCCCTCTCAACCATTTTTATCCCGTCCGTTACTACTCCTCTCCGTCGCCCTTCCACAAGCTCACTCACTCAACCACTCTCTTCCCCGCGCTCCCTTCTTTCTACCACACTCACCCACAACAGCGGTCGCCCGCTTTTCTCCCTTCTCGAAGAACCAGCCCTGCAGGCAGCTGACGCGCGAGTACACGGAGATGGAGTCCCCGCGCTCTATCACGCGCACCAGCGCGCCCGCCAGCAGCCGCCGGTTCGGGGGGCCCGCGCCCTGCAGCAGCAGCGCCTGCAGGGTGTCCTCGCTGCGCCGCTGCATGAGCTGCAGCGACTCCTGTGCTCGGGGGGAAGGACGAAGGGGTGGGGAGGTGGGAAGCGCAACGGGGGGATAGATGGCAGATGTTGTACTCTGGTCAATGTCTACATTCAAACCCATTGATGGAAATAAAGCAGCAAATATATACAAAACATAAGAGTTAATGATGTGAGGTATCAGCCTGTGAGGTAATGATGTGCCATCACAGGCCAATTCATGGCGAAAAGAGCACCAAGACTCTTTTGGTTCTGACTGTCGGATCCCTCTTGCGGGTAGATCGAGCGAGAGGGTGCTGACGTTATTTTGTGTTCAATTTCATTCGTAACGATGGCGACAAACCGCGTCCAACCCAGCGCAGGTCGTGATAGTCTACCTTATTCAGTTACGGCTCAGACAGAGACACGGGGAAAGTTCGAGTCAAAATTCAGGCTGCCTCTGCGAAAGCACACACACGCACACCACACCCTGACATCATTTTCCCACCTCGGGTTCATGCTCGATGGAGGCATGGAGATTCTTGAGCAGATCGAAGCAGAAGAGGGGATCAGGCGGCTTCGCGGCGGCAGAGTGAAGTATAAGCTCGAGCTCCGATATCACCGCACTGAGCTTCTGAACCTCCTCCACGTGCTTCACCTCCATTGGCTGGGAAGAAGGGAGGCGAAAGAGAGAGAGACACGAGTGTAAAGAGAGCACTTCCGACAGAAATAGGCACGCTTCACACTGCCGTTAACAGGGCTACAGCTTTAGCAAGTTTGTAACCAGATTCTACTACAATGGCCCCTTTATAGGATGCCAAAAAACCAGGTGCTCAGGGAGAAAGCTATCAGGACATGCGCGCCAAGAGCTGACAGAATCCATGAAGCTCATGAGGGACATGTGCGACGGCCATTGAAATTTGTTGCATTCGCAGGCCAAATATGCTAGACCGAGCAACGTCGCATCTGTCCGCATGTTCGCAACATGCCTAATCAGCAAGGGTCGAGCAATAAATAGGCATTAATGCAGAAAATTTAAGCATTTACTTGCAGATATCAAGACGTTCTGTACGGTTCTAAAACTAGGCATTTACCGCACCGTTACGAACGATATCTATCCCGACACAACATCTGTCTGCCGTTGCAGAAGAAACGCGGACTCTGATGCATGCGAGCCTTCGCATTAAGAAGAAATAATGATGGGATCACAAAATCATTCACCGACCTGTGGAGGACGGCACGGAAATCTTGCTATATGATGAAGCCAGCACGGCAAATCGTACAGTCCAAACGACCAAAATTCGCAGACCTGCGGGAAAGTCTACGACACCAAAGCTCTAAAAGGTGATCACGGAAATAATTTCTTCAGAAAGCAAACGCCATGCAGAAATCTGGAGATCTTGGAGCAAACTGACTGCAGGTAGCAGAGGGGGGTTGCCTGCTTGGCTGCACACTGACTGTGTTCGGTCGCGAGTGGCGTGGTGGACATGGGTGTGGGAGTGACAGAAAGTGGTGGCGGGAAACCAATCACCCCGACTCAGGGAACAGTTTGAGGATTAATTCTGATGATGCAGAGGTGCAGATTGTGCACTCACTTCAATATCCTGCTTGAAGTGGAGATGAAAGAGGACATCATGTTATTACTATTTAGCGACTCAGCTTGAGAGCTCTCCCTTGAAATTTATGTTCAGAGTATAATAAGAATGGCTAGCTCTACTACAGTAAGTTGGTCATATTTATACAGGATTAGAGCTACTGTTTATGGTATTTATATCTGATTAAAAAAAATTATCTAATTTTATGAATTGAATACTGTTATGCGTATTATGAAACACACCAAAGATCTTGCTAAAGTGTAAAACTACATGTATATCAATCATATGCAGCTGGCAACACTATTTACCAGCTAAGGGCCAATCTTTCGCTTATATAAGCGTCCTACAGAAGCTTATGAAACACGGTAGCAATACGATCTTAGCAAGCTCCAGGAATGCTGGCAGCGCGACCATATCCTCGATCTTTCCCATGCAGCAGCTTAGTCAGCATCCGCCACGTCACCTCCTCGTGGTGTCCGATGGATTCATCATCCTCAGCTGATTGTCTGCCCTGCTCATCCCAAAGAATCCCCGGCTCACCTTCCTCCGCACTCCCCGGGTTTGCCCGAAACACCGCGCATTCCCCTTTCCGCGCGCCCGCAATCAAGACGAATCCGCCGCTCTTCCTATTCTCTGATGGCTGAACTGTGTGCCTGATGCCTGATCTAAAACCCCTATTTTCAGATTCCATGCGTTCTTGACATTTGCCCCATAGCTCCACCATTTATCCTTGGTAGCTTGTCAGTTCCATGCGCTAGCTCTCAGGCTGCTAGTGCGATATCTTCTTTCGCATAACACGTATTCGGCTGCTTGCGAGGTGCTCTCATTCATTCGCATCTAGCGCTGCTTTTTCAACGCCCTAGATTTCGGAGTGTGTGAGGGAGGTTCGCAGTCGTAGAGCCAGGGATTCCCCACGAGAGAAGATGGTGGACGAAATCGAGACCGAAGAGCGCAAGGAGCTCGACCTTACTTCCGCCGATGTCGTCACCAAGTATAAGGCAGCTGCGGAGATTGCCAACAGTGGGTGCCTTTCTGTACAGCCGTTTCCGTTTATGTGCCTTTCTGTGCCGTCAAGCTGTCCGTACTTTCCTTTTTTCCTTATCGGAGCTTCTGTACACACGCCTCGTGGAATTTCTTCGTCGTGGTGCCTTGGCCTGGATTATGTGCGGCTCTGAGCTTACAGTATTGTACGGTCGGAAGGAATCTTGTGGAATTCTTTTAAAGATTTCCAGTCCTGAAGACATAGGACGTATCTCACTGTCCTCATTCAGACATATATTCATGCGTTTTATCACATTGGGAAATTTTAAGCATCCAGTCGGGGCGCATCGTCACTTCATCGTTCCATCGTCTCCATGGAATGTTGTGCTTACATGCTGGTCGCTCGTCTTGTTCTGCCTGGTCATCGCGTCAAACGTACATGCTCATCTACCTGCGGTTCTGTTTCTCGTTACTTATATTGTGCGTGTTACCACCCTGTCAGAGGCTCTTGCGACTGTGGCTGCACAGGCCAAGGCGGGAGCAAAGGTGCTAGAACTATGCGAGCTCGGAGACAAGACTATCAACGAGTGGGTTTCGTTTTTCCGCCCTCCCTTCCTAAGTCTTTCCTGCATCATTTGTCTTTCGTATGTTAAATGCGGGAAACTTTTGTCGAATCTGCCTTTTCTGACCACCCGTTCCACCTCGGCTATTTTTTGGTCGTCATCCTTCAGAGCACCGTCGCCTGCCTAGGCCCCTTCACCTGCTTGCGCAACTCCTTCGTTCTTCTCATCCTATCCCATTCGCCGCACCTGGCCGTCCATTGTCCACCCGGTGCAGGTTATCTCAGGGCGTGTTCAAGAACGCCAAGAAGAAGATAGAGCGCGGGGTGGCCTTCCCCACATGCGTGTCCGTCAACAACATCGTCTGCCATTACTCCGCCGCTGCCGGCGACGAGGCCGCTCTCGCTAACGGCGACGTGGTCAAAATGTACGCGATCCTTCGAATCGGACCCCGTTCCTTCCTTTTCTCCATCATACACCATTTCACTCAATGGATGTGGACATACAGCATTACTACGGACCCTGATTCCTGTGTTCCTTGCATCGCATTCAGTATCGAGCAGTGGCTGTCCGATTCGACGGCTCTTGAGAGCGATTGTCCGGATTTGCTGATGCATGCCCCCCTTACCCTGCACTCCCTTCCCTCCCATATGCCGCAACTCTCTCCCCCATTCTTGCTTTTCCCTTACTGTTTTCTCCCTAAACCCTCTTTCTCAAATCTTCATCTCCCTTCCGCATTCCTTTCTTTTTCCCATCTCCCGTTCCCCCTCCGCCGCCCCTCTGCCCGCCCCTCCCCTCCCCCCCGGTATTCCCCCTCTCCCCCCCACCCCCCCGCAGCGACCTGGCGGCGCACATCGACGGGTTCATCGCGTCGGCGGCGCACACGGTGGTGGTGCAGGAGGACGCCGCCGCGCCCGTCACGGGCAAGGCTGCTGACGTCATCGCCGCCGCCAACACCGCCGCAGAGGTTGCCTTGCGGCTCGTCCGACCGGGCAAGCACGTACGTCACAGGCAGACAGTTTCTTTCGTACGCGCTATTATGCAAGTGTTGCGAGAGCCCCGTCGTTCTCGCCCTCTCGGCCCTGGAACCCAGAGCTCGTAACCCAGTTCCGCCCTTCTCGTTCCCCTAGTTCTCCCCATCCTACTCTCCTCCCCCGATGCTCTGTCTGCACTTCTCCCGTAGCCTCTCTCTCTTACACTTCCCTCCTCCCTCCCCGCACCCCCCCCCCCCCCCCCCCCCCCACCCCTCTCCAACCATTTGCCCTTTCTTACGCTATCCTTCCGCCGCGCCTGTCGCACCCTGTTGTCAGTCTTGCCACGCCTATCAACAATCCGTTTCTTGGCTTCCCTTAACGTTTCCTTCTTCCTCCTTGAAACCCCTGTTTGGGCCCCCTTTGCCCCTCCAGTGGCGGCTCGGCAAATGCGTCCACCGCATGCCTGTGTCCCTTCCCACCGGCCCCGTCCCTACCTGTCCCTCAATCCCAACCGTTCCCGCTTCCCTTTCCCCCCTCTTTTCTACCCCTCCAAACCCCTCTTTCCCGCCTCCCCCCACCCCCCCCCCCCCCCCCCCCCCGCCGGCACCCGCCTTCCCTCCTGCGCCGCCCCCGCCCCCCGCAGAACAAGGAGGTGGCGGAGGCGCTGCAGAAGGTGGCGGAGGCGTACGGCGTGCACGTGGTGGAGGGCGTGCTGTCGCACCAGATGAAGCAGTTCGTGATCGACGCCAATAAGGTCGTGCTCTCCGTCTCCTCGCCCGAGATGCGCGTCGAGGACTTCGAGTTCGAGGCCAACGAGGTGTACGCCGTCGATATCGTCATGAGCTCCGGCGAGGGCAAGGTGAGGACGGGGGGAGGGGAATGGCCGGCGACAATGCACGCATGCACGCGCGCGGGGGGGGTTTGGGATGCGCACCTGCACCCGCACCCTCACCCGCACCCGCACCGCACCCGCATACGCTCACTCAAGTTCCCCCACCCCTCTTTTCGTTTTTGTCAAATCCGCTTCCGGCTTTCCCGCTTCTCCTCCGGTACTCTACTTGACTTCTTACTTCTTCCCCTCACCACCCCACCCACCACCTTCAATTCCACCTTGCACCAAACCCGTTCCTGACTTACTCATCCCTCGCATTTTGCTCCCTTCTCCCCCGCTCGCGTGTGTATGCAACTGCACATGTCTTTGTGTCCCCTCCTGTCCTCTGCTCTGCTTTCCTCTCGTATTGTATGCGCTGCTATGCCCCTCCTTGCGTGCTCTGCTGGCTCTTCTCTGCTCTGCTGCGCGGTGCTGTGCATTGTGGTGCGGTGTGGTGCGGTGCAGCCTAAGCTGGTGGACGAGAAGCAGACGATGGTGTACAAGCGCGCGGTGGACAAGGCGTACAGCCTCAAGCTCAAGGCGTCGCGCGCCATCTTCAGCGAGATCAGCCAGAAGTTCTCCATCATGCCCTTCACGGCGCGGTGCGTGGGTTCTCATGATCGTTGGGCTCTTTTCGTTGTCTTGAAACGAACATGCCCGCCGACTTGGGGTGGAAGAAAGGCCTCCTCCGCAGCCTGCCCACCTGCCCACCGTCAACACGTCGCGCGCCATCTTCAGCGAGATCAGCCAGAAGTTCTCCATCATGCCCTTCCCTGCCCGGTGCATTTCCCAGTCCACAGTTCGATTCTCCCTTCAGTGGTCAGTGCGCTTTCAGTGAATCCAAAGGTCGCCTAGAGACCTACCTACCCCTCCCCCCCCACCCCATGATGCCCACTCATTCCTCTGGGTTTTTATTCGAGTCAAAATTCGCTCTCACCTTAGAGAGTGGCCTCTGTCATGGCCTGTACTGCTCAGCACGCTCCCACCATCAGCCGTCCTTGCCTGCAAAATCCGTGCATTGCACCATTGCAATCCTTTTTCCGTGGGCCACACATATTCCCTGATTGCTTCATGTGCTGCTTGAATGTGCCGGTTGCTCTTCCTCCGCTCAAGTGACCTCTGCTCGCCACGCTGCCTGCTGTTAAACCATGTGCCTGTTCTGTGCCGCTGCTCTGCTGCCATGCGGTGCAGGGCGTTGGAGACAAAGGCAGCGCGGTTGGGGCTGGTGGAGTGTGTCAACCACGACCTGCTGCAACCCTACCCTGTTCTGCACGAGAAGCAAGGTTGGTGCATACGGGTGGTGTCGGTGAAAGTGTAGGTGTCAGTGTAGGTGTGGGGGTAGCGTAGGTGTGGGGGTGGCGTAGGTGTAGGTGTAGTCAGCTGTACATGAGTAGCTGATGTTGTTGAAGGATTATGGGAAGTTGTATGAATACAGCTTTAGGGGAGGATCTCTGTTGAGGTTGACTGGTAAGAATGGCAATTGCTGGTTGCTTTAGTCATGGTAAGGCAAAAGGAAGGCTACATGGTAAGGAGGCTACAGAAGCTTTAGGGGAGCTGTCTATCCTTGCCCTAGCTCCCTCTGCCATCCATCACACTCTCGCCTTCCTGCCCGCATTCCTCTTCCTCCCATTCTGCTTCTTTTCTCCCCCTTTCCCTCTCCCAGGTGATATCGTAGCACACATCAAGTTCACAGTGCTGCTCATGCCCAACGGCTCGAACCGCATCTAAGCACTAGCAATCCCTGTTTCCGCCCCTCTCTCACCGGGCCTCTCCCCCTGCAGGCGACATGGTGGCGCACATCAAGTTCACGGTGCTGCTCATGCCCAACGGCTCGGACCGCATCACATCGGCCACGCTCCAAACACTGCAGCCCACGAGTGAGCTGCAAGATGCCGACGTCAAGGCGTGGCTCGCCATGTCGTACAAGACCAAGAAAAAGACGACTTCAAAGAAGAAGGGTAAGGGGGAGGGGGAGGGTGGGCTGCTTGTGGAGAAATGCAATCGGTGCTGGCTGGCTTGCTGTGACTGCAATGACGATGAGGCTTTTGTTCCCTGCTTTTTAGTTCAGTGCATGTCATCCTTGGCTGTTGGGGGTGAGAGGGAGTTCTGCCCGTACCAGTATTGGTGCTGATGCGTGTGTTATTTTATGCCTGCGTTTACTTACCTCTTTTGTCTTACAGCTGCTAAGGAAGGTGAAGAGGAGGCAAAACCAGCTGAAGCCTCTGCATAGTTGAACAGATTAAGGGCCTGGGCTTGGGGGAGCACTCCAGCATGAGTGCTCCTGCCCGTGTTAATCTGTGTTTTGACTCCATGATTAATCAAATCGGGTTGGGGCAATGGTCTATTTGTGGATTTTCTTCTGCTATGGATGGAGGGTTTTGGGAATGCGCCTGGTCGGGTTACAGGCTGGAGGTCTCCCACAGCACCGTATTCAGAACCCTTCTACCGAGAGGAAACCTGACGGACAAAGGGACACCCACACAATGCGCAGCTGCGACAGGCTGTTTGTGGCGAATGTGACGTGGATGCGTCGCAGAATTTGCAAGCAAACCATCCTGTTACGAGTGCCGTCCATAGCGTCGTTGTTAGCGAAGTTTGGCGAGACGTCTGAGGTGCATGACTGACTCGCGATCCTCACGAGGCACCCTCAGCTGGCAGTTACGTCCTACGTCACACGCAACATCGAAGCTTCCGAAAGTCATCGCGACTCGCAAGGGGGGCGTGTCACAGTTTAGCCTTCTATGGCTGTGAAAACGATTTGTGTAGAATAAAAAACGGTTGGGTGTGGTTCTCATTTCACGCCCTCCACTGGTTCGGGGTGCATGCTCAGTAAGGACGCGTTCAGCCAGGAGTAGCAGTTTCGGTTCAATTAGTCCCAGAAAATTGTGCGTTTTTATCACGTATATTATTCATAGATTTAGAGAGAAATGAAGCTTCCGCGTACAATTTACGAAACTCGAACTGAATGAAGCACCTGAAATAAGTGAGTCGCGCGAAGCCCGTTCACGCCTTGACAAGATCTTATTCATTGCTTGGATGCCATCGACTCCTAGTCAAAGCTTCGCATCCACAACTTGGTTTCAGATCCACCTCTCCTCTAGATCCGCCCCCTCTACCTCTTCCTCACACAGTTTTAGGCACTGGACTTCTATCGTCTTGTTCTTCCCTGCGTCTTGTACGGTTGGCGTGATCCTTGTTCGTGTCCGAGCCGTTTATCAGCAATTACCAACACCAACCCTAAACTCGAATTTGTTCATTGAGCACCAGCAGCCATGAGTCTCATGTGGGTTGCCGTGGCCAGTCTCACAGGCTTGGAGGCTTTGCTTCTCTTCCTCGTCAGCTTGCCGCTCCCTCGTCCGCTCATTTCTCGCTTCGTTCCGCTGGTTCTTGCGGCGCTGCAACCGCTCCTGGCGGTGGTGCCGTTTTGCCTCTTCTTTCTCCTGGGTCAGTGATTTTCTGCACCTGCTCAGATGTTATTAGTAGTATTATCACTAGTTAACCCGTTTGGTGGGAGCTCTCTTTTTTATAGTTCTTTTTTTCCCCCTCTTTCATGGAAGTTATTGATTAACTCTACTTCCTCCCCGAGGTGGCCCACGGGCTGTCAACTGCTTCCTGAACATTTGTATCTCTAGAACGATATGCACGATTGTTGGCTTTTCGGCCTCCTCTTCGTGCCTCCTCTTTTTCCTGCTAGCTTCCCCACTCATCCTTCCCCCCTCCACCCCCCCTCCCCCCCCCTCTCCCCTCTCCTGGTGCCATTGATCGTGCCCGTTCCAGACGTGTATTGGAAGTACGAGTTTCGCATGGACTGCCGCACGCTCAGTCCCTTCCTCTTCCCTGAGTTTTCAGTCGACTCAAAAAACGACTCCCTCATCCCCTGCTTCTTCCCCTGCCGTGTCTCGCGCCCGTTCCAGACGTGTACTGGAAGTACGAGTTCCGCATGGACTGCCGCGGCGGAGCCTGCACATCAGCGGACCGCGACAGATACCAGAAGTCGGTAAGTTCCCGCCGAAGCTGTGATGGGTGGAAGCTGTGCTAGCATGCTCTTTCGGAACATTACATGTTCCGGGGTCGATAGATTTCAAACATAATAAACCTCTGAGCCTTGATAGCTCTATCTCCGAGTGATTTACGCAACCAGCACATGTCTCATGGTCACAGCCGATCAAGCTGCAGCGACTTAAAAAAACAAAAAAACCGAGCTCTGTTGGTGCTAGCTTCAGGCATGCAGGGCCTAATCAGGGTCCAGATGATAGACCAACTCGACAGGGTCCAGATGATAGACCAACTCGACAGGGTCCAGATGATAGACCAACTCGACAGGGTCCAGATGATAGACCAACTCGACAGGGTCCAGATGATAGACCAACTCGACAGGGTCCAGATGATAGACCAACTCGACAGGGTCCAGATGATAGACCAACTCGACAGGGTCCAGATGATAGACCAACTCGACAGGGTCCAATATCTGCTTTCCGCTCCACACCCTTCGCACAACCATCCTTCGTGGTGCTTATTCCGTTCTACCCTTTCTCTCTCCATCCCCTCAACTTCATCCACCTTTCGCGCTTCTTGCCTTCCACTGTCTTCCCGTGTGCTGTGCACTCACCGTTACTCTCTCCAGGTCATCAAGAGTCAGCGCAACTTTATCCTCGGGCTGTTCGGCATTTACCTCTACTGGTACTAGCCATGTGCTCCCCCGTGCTCCCCCGTGCTCCCCCGTGCTCCCCCGTGCTCCCCCGTGCTCCCCCGTGCTCCCCTGTGCTCCCTGCTCTCCCTGCTCTCCCTGCTCTCCCTATCTTGTATTTGTTCCAGCGTCGCTGGTGCAGCGGCCATTTTTTTGTGAAGACATTCGCCTGCTTGGTTTCACTGTTCCCCAGTGCATCCATACTTGCACTGCTGCTGTCTGCATCTACGATTGTTTTGAGGGCAATACGTGGAAATACCTGGTTATTCACGTCACCTCTGCATGCCTGCATCCACATGCTCACTGAACACATTTGAAAATTGTCTGCCTGTCCGGCCTCCTGTTTCTGTCTGTGTGTGTGCGCGCACGCCCGGCCTCCTGTTTCCCTGCATGCCTGCGTCCGCTTGCCTGCATGCCCGTAATTATGTTTCCATGCACGATGACAGGGTGCTGTACCGCTACTGCGTGCTGAGCATGAAAGTGAACAGGCTCGAGGCCATTATCCCTGCCGACAAGCCCAAGAGGGTCACCAAGGACGCACCCAAGGAGGCGTCCAAGGAGCAGTAGCAACAGCGGTAGCGGCAGCTGCCGTGGCTGATGATTGCTGCAGCTGCGGCTGTTGGCTGGGTAGAAAATGGGTACAGGTTAAAAATGTGGGGGATCCATTGGGCATGTGTGGAGAACAAATTGGGTGTTATGACGGTCTGGTTAGCATGGAGTGTACCGGTATGAGCAGGTGAACAAATGAGGCTTAGGTATCCTGATGATGTCCACTTTGCATATGGGAATCATGAAGTTAATTGAAGTGCTTTTGGTACTCTTATTTGTTAGTGTTTTGTGTCCTTATCTTCTTTTTGTATGACACAACCTTCACCATCCCACTTTCCTCATCCTGAAGTGGCCCAGTCAGTAGAATGGGCACTTCGGAATGATAAGGGTGTCAGAATGCTATAATTGTCTAGTCAGCAGTGGGGTCAGGCCCTCAGATTCGTTTTTGGCCTGTCTGATTCGTCAGACTACCGTATTCACCCGGATATACCCCCAGGTGGGGGTGTAAAAAAACATGGAAAAATGGTGGGTGGGCTTATAATGTGGTAAATTTTATAACCCCATGGGCTAAATAAATGACACTTATGGAAATTTAATTTTATAACACTGGAATGTGGATTTCACCCTGGCGATTTAAATCGATGCTAACACAAAGAGGTTCCATGCTGAAAAGTTCCGAGAATGTGTCGTACAGTCAAGAATCCCAGTCAGCACCAGTCAAATGTTGCAGATTTCGCGCACGTGCACCTCCTGTGGAAATTTTGCCAAGCGAGCCAGGGGGGAATTCGTCATGCACGTCTGTGACGATTCGTTTAGGTGCGTTAGTGGCGATTTCGCTAAAAAAAAAAAGCAGAATTCATTGGGTGCGCTTATACAAAGATTGACAGAAATTGGGGTGGGCTTATAATCGGCAACTGGCTATAAGCCCACTAGTACGATTATAACCGCATGGGTGTAACATAGGCCTGGGGGTATATCCGGGTGAATACGGTAGTACACAATTTTAGTCTGAAAATCTCAGAGTTGGTATAAAAAAAAGGCTGAAATTTCAGAGTGTCCCTTAGGTATCCTGATGATGTCCACTTTGCATATGGGAATCATGAAGTTAATTGAAGTGCTTTGGTACTCTTATTTGTTAGTGTTCTGTGTCCTTATCTTCTTTTTGTATGACACAACCTTCACCATCCCACTTTCCTCATCCTGAAGTGGCCCAGTCAGTAGAATGGGCACTTCTGAATGATAAGGGTGTCAGAATGCTATAATTGTCTAGTCAGCAGTGGGGTCAGGCCCTCAGATTCGTTTTTGGCCTGTCTGATTCGTCAGACTAGTACACAATTTTAGTCTGAAAATCTCAGAGTTGGTGTAAAAAAAAGGCTGAAATTTCAGAGTGTCCTAAAAAAAAAGTCTGATCATTCAAAAACAATGTATTCAATGTTTCATCGGAATGTAATCAATGTTTCATTCATCTGCTACCGAAACACACAACACTAAGGGGATTTCCGATAAAACATGCTCTGACAGGGCGAATATATGTGTCAGGGCGAATCTTGTGGTGCGAAAGAGCGAATCTGCAATGTCAGGGCGAGTTTTCTGTGATTGGTCGAAAAGTGTTGTGCTCTGACAGCGCAAATCTGTTGTGTCAGGGGCGATTTTGCTATGATTGGGCGAAAATCTTGTGCTGTAAGGCTCGGATTTGCTGTGTCAAGGCGATTTTGCGTCGACATTGCGAATCTGTTGTGACCCGTAAGTCCAAATCACCAGTCAAGGACGCGTTTGTACACTGAATGATCAGAGTACACTCTCAGAAAACTCTGAACTCTCAGAGTTAGCCTTAAAAAAAGTCTGAAAATTACAGAGTTTGGGCCCAAAAAAGTCTGATTTTAACAGAGTACACTGGAAAAAAAGTCTGAAATATCAGAGTTTTTTGTGCAAATCAGAGAAAAAAGTCTGACTTCGTAGGGCCTGAGTGGGGTACTCTATAGTGAGTACAGCCAAAAGTAGGATTTGCTATATGTATCCTATCTACTGCTAAGGCCATCCCTCTGTCAAAACATATTGGTATGTTCTTACTCTAGGTTGTGTAGGGTCACACCTTAGAGGGTACAATCCAACTCTCTCGACATCCTTGTACCCCCTCCCTCTTACCTAATCGACACTCATTCCTCACCTAGCTAGTGATTCTAACATGGTATTAAGAGCACAATGCTCCTTAGGACCGAATTTTTAAAAGGGCCCACCACTACTATTTCGATCTACTGCTCGAGTCGCGCCCCTGGGAGCAACGCGAAATTCGAAACCGTGCTCTAGGCGAAACGGTTCCTTTTTCTGCCCTATACGCGATTTTCCTTCCTAGTCATGTGCGACCCCCCCTGACCGCGCCCTAGCTGCCAATACAGCCCGCGTAGGCCCGTCGCGAAGCCCGTACAGCCCGCGTAGGCTCGTCGCGAAGCTCGTACAGCCTGCGTAGGCCCGTCGCGAAGCCCGTACAGCCCGCGCCAGGCCGTCGCGCAGCCCGTACAGCCCACGTCAGGCCCGCACCCAGCTCGTAAACATCTCAAAAATGCCGAACCGTCTGTTAACGGTGGTGGCAATATTTCGAATATCACACGCTTTGGGGAGGGGGTGTTAATTTCTATCCACAGGCTGATGTGGCAAATGCTCGTTTTTGGTTGTGTTATGGCTGTTTTTCACTTGTGTTTGGCAGGGAATCAGCCGTGGCAGCGTAGGATATCGTGTCGCGCTCCGTGACATTTCACATCAACGGCCCAAACTCCAACTTTTTTTCGTGCGGTTGAGATCCATTTCGATTTGGCGTGATGTTGTCGTTGTAATCGGAACTAGTCATTGACTGTAAAATTTATTGGGCGAAACCCCAGTGTTTGCAAGCAGAAAATGTGGCATCTTCGTGCGGGAAGATTTTGTGTCGCACAGTGTCTGGTGTTTGCAAGAACGTGATTATAAACAGCCGTTTCTAGAGTACATAAGCAAGCAGGTGTATGTCACGGTTCTTGAAATCTCGTGACGCCTTGGTCATACGAAGTCAAAACGCACTGTGATATTTTTTGGGAGTGCGTGGTTTCTTCCTATTGGTCGCATCCAATTCGGTTCTCCAAACAGCACTTTTTCGCTGGCCAATATTTTGAACGACCGTATTGGCTAACGGGAATGTCGCAACGTCACTCGAAGTTCAAAATTCGCGAAGTGTAAAATTCACGATGCGATTTGAAATGTGTGAGTGAAATGCGCGGCTCGTAAGTGCCCGCCCATCCTTTTTCTTCGGGGGAATGCGGTGCAATACGACGCTGCACAATTGTAAACGCTTTAATAAACAAATAGTTCGGTTGAGATGGGTATCGATTAAGAATGATGCTAGAATGACGCGCCCTAATGCACACCCCTTCGACTTGAACCTGAATTGTCAGAACATATAGCTTTTGCATATTGTGTAGGCTATAGTGGGGTAGCCCATAAGGGGTACAACCCAATTAGGGTTAGTACTTGTACTCACTTCATTCATAGTTCATCCATTCATTGCTAAACACTTCTCATAGTATCGAGCAGGTTCCCCTGTGGGAACTGTGCCTAGGGCCCACCACTTCGAAAATATTTTTTTCCTGCCCGAAGCGCGCTCATCCCGAGTCGCGCCTCGGGCTATTACCACGACGAGCCGCCCTAGCGGCCTTCCCTCCCCTAGCGGCCCTGCCGCCCTACTGTCGCGGCCCCGCCGCCCTACTGTCGCGGCCCCGCCGCCCTACTGTCGCGGCCCCGCCGCCCTACTATCGCGGCCCCGCCGCCGTGCTTTAGCGGCCCCGCCGCCCCGCCCTATTGTCGCGGCCCCGCCGCCCCACTTCGCGGCCCCGCCGCCCTGCTTTAGCGGCCCCGCCGCCCTACTATCGCGGCCCCGCCGCCTCACTTCGCGGCCCCGTCGCCCTGCTTTAACGGCCCCGCCGCCCTACTGTCGCGGCCCCGCCGCCACACTTCGCGGCCCCGCCGCCCTACCCCTGCGGCCACGCCGCCCTGCTTCACGGGCCCCGCCGCCCTACTTCACGAGCCCCGCCGCCCTAATTCACGGGCCCCGCCGCCCTACTCTACCGGCCCCGCCGCCCTACTTCACGGGCCCCGCCGCCCTACTCTGCCGGCCCCGCCGCCCTACTGTTGCGGCCCCGCCGCCCGTCTACTGCGGCCCCGCCGCCCTACACCTGCGGCCCCGCCACCCTACTGCAAAGGGCCCCGCTGCCCGTCTGCTGCGGCCAGACCGCTCTCCCCTCCTGCCGCGCCGCCCGAGCAGCCGCCCGCCGCACCACCCTGCAGTGCGCACCGGAGCAGCCGACTGCCGCGCTGCCCAGTACCAGAGGAGCCGAGCCGCCCTGCAGCCGAGCCGCCCGGCCGCCCACCAGCCGAGCCGCCGTGCAGCCGAGCCGACCAGCAGCCGAGCCGCCGAGCCGCCGAGCCGCCCAGCCGCCGAGCCGCCCAGCAGCCGAGCCGCCCCGCCGCCGAGCCGCCGAGCCGCCGAGCCGCCCTACAGCTGAGCCGCCCGACCTGCCCTGTCCGGTGAGCACAGCCCCACTGTCACTGCGTGCCCTTCCTCTACTGCTTGCACTGCTAGTCTATCGTCGTCATGGCTACCCCTAGTGTCCTAGCTTTTGATGCTGAGGGTCGAGCCATTGACTCTGAGGTCTGGGTCAACGACCTGCAACTGTTCTTACAGTGCGATAGGGCGGACGACCTTTCTCTCTTTGACCTCACCTCTGGCGCCTCTCCTGTTCGCTCTCAATGGGCCACCCGCGATGCTGCTGCACGTCTTGCTGTGCGTCGCCACCTGCCTACCACTGAGCGCGCGCACTTTAGTCAGTACAAGAGTGCTCAGACCTTGTACGACGCTGTAGTTGCGCGCTACTCTTCCCCTGCCACTGCTGCACTGAGCCGCCTCATGCTACCGTACCTCTTTCCTGACCTTGTTGCCTTTCCCACAGTCGCTGACCTCATTACGCACCTCCGCACTAGTGACACTCGCTACC